GCTATCCTGAAAGCAGTGTGTCCCCAGAGCAACCGCCGCTGCCCCGGGCCACACACGGCTCAGGTCTCCAGTCCCACAGTGCAGTTAACTACTGTGTTCCCTACAAGGTAAATTTTGTGGATGCCACTTGGCTTGGATCGTAAGCCAAACTCTTCCAGATAACCCTGTGTATTTGATAAAAACCCGAGCAGCCCTTTTCGTATAAGGAAGAAATAGACAAATGGACAGATAGTTAGTTCTTTTATTCCCCCTCCCAGGTAAAAAGACCCCTTTTTAACAGCCAAAAAAAAGAAAAAAGAAAAGGTCAACCGCCCTCCAGCAAGTAGTCGACGTGTTTTGCTTTCTGTTGACTGAGACTCCATAATGACCAGAGTCTGCTGTGAACACTCTTAAATGAACTTAATTTTAGGGATCAGAAATTTAAGGATCTCTTGGCCTTTGGAAAGTAGCCGCACTACAGGCAGAAATGCTTTTTGTGAACTGGATTGATTCCAGGACTCGGTGATCAGGATCAAACCCCTGTAGGTGTCTTCGGCTCAGGGCTGGGGATCCAGGGGCCTGGGGCATATAGCCCAATGCACATGCACCTGTGTTACACCTGAGTAGTGCTCAGCTAGAGGGAGGCACCAGGTGAGCGCCTCGCTCTCTCAGGCCCACCTCCTTAGGAAGACGAAACAAAAACTCCATCATTACTTTCGGCTCCAAAGGCCTGTGAGCTCACACGCACACACACACGCACACACACACACACGCAGAGGCTCCGTTTCCTCACACCACGGGGAGTCTGGAGGTGACGCTGAAGGCCTCCCCAGCATTCATGGGATCATGGCTCCCCACCTCTCTTCAATCTGCCGTCCTTCGTGGCAGCTTTGGTCCTCATGTATGGTCACCTTGCGGTCATACACTGGCTGCCCCACCTCCTGCTTTCTGTCCCTGTCCCAAGCGGGAAAAGGAGAAGGGCAAAAGGCCTGTGCCAGCTGAGCCCCTGCCCTTCCACGTGCAGCAACTTCAACCCACTTCTCAATGACCAGACAGAACTGGGTTTCCATCATAGGGCTGACTCTAGCTGCAAGGGAGGCTGGGAAGCTGGACATTTCCAGCCAAGCACATTGCTGCCCCCGATAAATTGGGGCTCTGTTGTATGGAAGCGGGGAATGGCTCTTTGAGTAGGAAACTAGTGGTCTACCTCAGTGAGGCTTTGCTCTGGGACCACGGCACGGCCTTGCCTAGGGCATGCAAGCACATGTGGCTCCCAAATGACACTCTGTGGGCTGACACAGGACTTGTCCAGGAGAGTACAGGCTTTGTCACCCTCTAGACACCTACCTCTTGACCAGGGGCCTCGGCGGAAGCCCTGCCTTTGCCGCCTCTGTGCCTCGGTGCCACGTTTGGTGATGTCACCTTTCTTTTTGTTGTCGTCATATTTCATATCATCACCTTACTATTATGAATAGTTTTCTTTAAACCAATTCACTTATTAGATTTAATAAATATATTTAAATGGGAAGTTTTATGATACTACGGCAACCCTTTCAGCATTAGCATCATTGTCATAAAGAGAAGGTAACTGTTAGAATAAATATCTGAAAAGCCAAGCAACGTCCGTAAGTGTGGGCTAACCCCCTCCTCCCTCACCCTACCCCCACGCTCACAATAGCTCTCAACCTTGGCCAGCTTGTCTCTGTTTTAAAAGATTTGCGCACATTAGAAAGGTGTTCTAGACACGCTAGCACCAAGCAGAGACTTTCTTCTCCAAGGAAAGAACGTTTAAGAGGGACTTAATTCTTCCCTCTGTGATCCGAACCACCTAAAACCACCGCTCAGGGACACGGGTGGTTTGGGTCGCCCACTCCTGCTCTGAAGTTGGCCATTCTGAGCGCGTCTATCTTTTCCGCAGAGTCTCCACCTCTAGACAGTCAGAGACGCGCCAGGATGGAGGTCCTGAAGGAGAAGGTAGAGGAGGAGGAGGCGGCTGAGCGGGAGGAGGCGGCCGAGCGGGGCGAGAAGACGATGAAGCCCCTGGAGGTGCGGAAGGAGGAGACCTTCCTGACGCAGGAGATGCTCAGAGACCTGGAGAAGAAGGTGTCAGAGATTGAGGTCGCCGCTCCGCGGAGGCCCTCGTGAGTGTCGGGGTGGGGGCTTCGGACCCAGCCGCCCTGGAGCGGGTCAGAGCCGGGCTGGGCAAAGGAGGAGCCAGGCAGAACGGTGGCACCTGGGCTGGGATGCAGGCCCAGGACCTAGAGGGAGGTGGTTAAGAGTGAGGGCTCTCCGCTTTCAGCATGCCCGGACCGAGTTCCCACTCTGCCCCCTCACTCACTGTGTGACCCTGGGCAAGTTACGCAACCTCTCTGCGCCTCGGTTCCCTTATTCGTTTAAAAGTGCAGGTGCTAATAATGATACTTCCCTCCCAGGGGGTTGTAAGGATTAAACAAGGAAGGGATAGAGCCCATGGCAGCTCGGGTAGATCAGGGATTCTCTGTGTGCCAGGCCCAGCCTCGCGCAGACTAGTTAATGCCACCCTTCTTGCGGGCACAGGAGCATTACCAAGGACACTATTGACATCTCCAAGCTGCCTCTTTCCTACCAAAGCAACACGCTCAAGGAGGAACAGCTGCTGCAGGTGGCAGACAACTTCTCGCGCCAATACAGCCATCTGTGCCCGGACCGCGTGCCCCTCTTTCTGCACCCACTGAACGAATGCGAAGTGCCCGTAAGGCTGGGTTGTGGAGGGCAGGGCTTGGGGCTTGACAGCAGAGGGAGGAAGGAGATGAGCCCAAGCATAGCCCTCCCGTGGGCCAGAGCTTATAGCCTGGGAGCAGCATAAACTCGAATGCCAACAGGCTCGCTGTGAATCCCCTCTGGGGCGCTGGCGGCCTGGAGACCCTTATGCCTCCCCCCAAGGGGCAGGCTCCAGCCCCAGAGTCCGGCCCCGTCCAGGGAAGGGCAAAGAAATAAGACAAAATGACCAGGGTGGGCCCCGATACCCAAGCACTGGACTCCTTCTTTCCAGCCCTGTGACCCAGGTCACGTCCCTGAGTCTCTCAGGGACTGAGTTTCCCCATCTGTAGACAAAATGGCACAGGATGAATCCAAAGGCTGTACAGCGGCAGCTCACAGGCTGGCAGGGACTCCCAGACTGTTGTACTTGGCCCACATGGTGATTTTTAACAAACATATTGGCTGCCAGCATTTGAAGCTCGGAGACTCCCCTGCAGTCCCTACTCCCCGTTTCCCTTATCTGGTCACCCCAGGCCTGCGTTTCGCTTGCAGCAGGGGCTGCATTGGGGCTGCCCCTCACGTGAGGCCATGCGCGATCCATTCCTCGAATCTACAGGGAGACTGGAAGGCCTGGCCCACAGGCCCTGGGTGGCAGAGCAGCCCCTCGAGGTCCCTAGTAGCACTAGGTCCCCACCCTGGATGGTGGCCC